TTTTCTTTTTTTAAATTTTCTTTTTTTTATATATATTTTTTTATTTTCTTTTTTTTATTTTTTTTTATTTTCTTTTTTTTAATTTTCTTTTTTTGCGGTGCACGTGGCGGGGTTTGCACATAGCGAGTTCGATCCCCGGAGAGGAGCTTTTTTTAATTTTCTTTTTAGCAGTCGCTGTTTTGCTTTTAACACTCAAAAACTAATTGTTCAAGTCCCGACGTATGAGTTTTTCAAATTTTCTTTTTAACATCCGCTGTTTAGCTTTTTTTATCAGATGTGTTTTCTTCTTGAAGTGGTCTCGTACCAATTTCATCAACTTGGGTAATATCATTTCAACAACTTCTACCTCAAAAACGGCAGTAAAACCTTCGTCAGCTGAAATGTCAGCTTTTTTTAAAAGCACTTGTTTTCTTTCTTTCCTTAGACTTTGGGAATCTCTAGTGATCCAACTTATACAATACAAGTACTAAAACTTGCATGAGGACACTTATATTTTCAATGACAATGTTGAAAAACCGATTGTACAAAATAGAAAAGCTTGTTTGAGTTTGCGACTCACAAGACAGATCCTGTGGGGTGGTAGATAGCAGGCAGGGCTGTCTTGGGCTGCGAAACAGAGAACACAAAGTTCAGTTAGAATAGAAATGATAAAAGTCATCTTCACAATTCACCTAGCCTCTATCAGTCTTCAGAGGAGGCTGGAAAGAGTAAAAAATAGTCAACAAGATAGGATGACATACCAGGGGAATTGGTCCCCTAGAGAGTACAGTTCTAAATTGTAGGAGACCAACTCCCTAGTCTAGTAGTCTAGTTTGCTGATTTCTACCCTGGTTGAGGCTAAAAGCCATTCTCATAATTGAACCCCTAGCTGACTGCATAGAGAGAGTATAGGAGTCTTGAACTAAGGCACCTACTCTAAGAGTCTTTCAAGCTGTTCAAGAAAACTTTGATATTTGTTTACGATGAACTATCTAATGTAGAAACCACCTGCCATGCATGCTAGCCGTAGTACAGGAGAGCCCCCTACCTTCTGTGAGCTGCTCTGCAGGGGATGTACTTGGTAGGCCCCCAGCACAAGTTTGTGGCAGTGGATGTGGAAACTCACAATGACTTCGTTGGGAAGAGCTGGACTGAACATTTTCTGTAAACCAAAGGACAGAATGTCTACCCAGGAATTCTAGTAACCAAATCACCTGCCTCTCAATGTTGTGTCAACTACTAACCTAGCCACTCTGCAATTCAACGGCAGTTTAAAATCAACTTTATTACCATGTATATACAAGACAAAAGATTGCTTGGGGTAAAAAGACTAGGCCAGCCCTTTATCTCTTGCTATACAGCACTAAGAGGAGGGCGCAAGGCAAGTAAGACAAAGTGTTAGAAGTTATGTGCATTGGACATTTTGGTGTTTCAATTTGAAATTATTTTTACATTAATTGCAAGTACATTTCATACATGCATGTAAAAAAAAGATATTAAAAATAAAACTTGTTACATCAGATTTATCTTCTACAAGAGAACAGCCCTGAAGTACATTCCCAAGCTGGTGTGTTTCTAGCTAGCATGTAGTTTATGGCATAAGATGCACAAAGTGCGCACTATCCCAGTCTACTTTAGCCTGGACATAGCTCCCGAGTCCTACAGCCTCTCCGCATATTTGTGGAGAGGATGTAGGACTCGGGAGCTATAATAGGTTTGGTAACCAGGCTAGTCTGACTTCACTCAATGATCAATCTTAGCGATGAACACATCTTGATCCTCTCACCATAATTTTGCTGGAGTAGAGTTCCTCCAGGGTTCTCTTGCGAGGCGTCGTGAGGCAATCCCGCCCGCGGTTCAGCCGACCCATGATGTCATCCATCACCTAAAGGGCACAGCAGGACAAACAGTCACAACTGACAATGTATATATAGTGCACAACGTAATTATACAATGTAGTAAATGCATGACGTCTAGGACAGATTTTATAACCTGTTAACCCTAACGTTAGACTGCAACATCTGTTATGTAATAGTATGTTAACCTGACATGTAGATATAGTACACGATGTAATTGTAGTAAACGCACGACGACTAGGCCGGATCTCATAACTTGTTAAGTTTACAAGTTTATTACAAGTTAGACCGCAACATCTGTTATGTAATAGTATGTTTATCTGAAGTGTAACCGACACTGTTAACTGCCACCTGTTACTAATAACCCCTTTATAATAGCCTCCAGCTAGTTGGGCAGTCCTGGCTGTATACATATGTTTTATCCAGCCTAATAAATCAAATCAAATCAAACTGTTAGGGCACTTCTCAATAGCACGACCTTGTAGATTACATGAGAACTGCAGCTAATGAAAATTTGTACAGCTAAACCGGTCTATCTATGCTATATTATATTGTGCAAGGTCAAGTACAAAGGTCAGAAGTCAAAGTTTGTGCGCTGACCTTTACGACCTCCTCCCCGGTCTGGAACTGGTAGCCCTGCTCGATGCTGGTCACATGATCCAGAGCTGCCTGCAGGTGATTGGCCGCATTCTGGATCTGTAAGTCACATGATTGTCACATGATCAGTCACATGATGGTCTCATGATCTATCACATCATCTATCACATGCTCGGGTGAAAATGGGAATTCTCGGGTCCCAAATAAAAGTATCCCTTGGGCATATCCTTCAATTTTAACAAAAGTACCCTCTGCAAAACTATGTAGGAACACAGACAAACAGATACGCAAAAAAATACCTCTGTTTGTTTGTCTGTTTGCTTTATTATTATTTGAGCCTGCAAGTGCAGGCAAAATGGAACTTCTTTTAGGGCCAACTCCTCTGGCCAATGATATCCCTTTTAGGCCAATTTCTACTATTTATTCAGCCTGCAAAAGGAGTCTGGTGGAGGCAACAATTTTCATTTCGTTGATGTCATGAGTGAAGAAGTAAATAAGGGAAAGCTCTTTGATTAGGGTCACACAAAATGTATCAAAAAGATTGTCCATTTTCATGGAGGTAAAAACAAACAACACCACTCACCAGGACAGACAACACTTAAGCTCCTGTCCTGTATAACAGGAGCTTTCAGACTAATTTGCATCATCTTGTCTTGACTTGTCTGACTTTTGTTCCTTTTTCGACTTCCAAAAAATTTGTCTTCACTTTATTTGCATATCAATCAACAGGTTGTGTATATAAACCTGCTTTCCCCTCTGGTCTCTCAGTCACTGACGAAAGCTAGTGGATACTAGCTGAAACGTCTGACGTTTCCAAAATCATATCCAGTTGCTTGAGTAACTGTTTTTTGGCATATCGTATTACCTGGATGTCTAACCTTCATCGACGTAACACCACTCACCGCCTGCAGCTTCCATTGCAGCCCCTCTCTGAAGCTGGTGCGGAAATTCTGCGTCGAGTGGCGATGAATCTTCACACTCATATCCTGCCGGAAAAAAAAAAAACTTAGCGTTAAAAAAATTCTTTTATTATTGCAGCCACTTAATTAATTGAGAAGTGAGAATTGAGAATTGAGAATTCACTCCAAGAGAATGGGAAGGGGTTGTTTTCATACCAGTATGTTTAATAGCCTCCATACTAGCATGCTAAAAACTGGTCCAGGAGGTTTTGGGGGTCTTCAGGGTCTTTGGGAGGTTTTATGTGCTATTTTCTGATTGCATATAGACAACATAGCCGGCCTGGTTGAATTACCCCGTTTTTTTTAACTGGGCTAATCAGAAAACAGTTGAACACCACCAAACCCCCAGTTCTATAAGCCTGCTACGGAGGCTAACAGCCGAAGACCACCAAACCCCCAGTTCTATAAGCCTGCTACGGAGGCTAACAGCCGAAGACCAGCAAACCCCCAGGTCTATAAGCCTGCTACAGAGCCTAATGTTTAAAGTTTGCCGTGGAAATTGTGAATTTTGTAGTACACACTGTTGTAATAATTGTACATTGGAAAACATTGTAAAAATGCTGCCATACTTACTGCGGTGCAGATGTTGTCTCCATACAGGGTGATGACTGCCTTCACATTGTCAGCACCCCTGCAGCAAAACACAACGGTCAAGCCTTGTCATGTGCTCCCCCTATCTGCTGCAATAGGAATGGCAGACAGGAGCAAAGCAGCAAATACATGACCACAAGATTTTAGCCACAAGTACAATGTAGGGACATAGATGTCAAATCTGAATTATGTTCATAATTACACTGTTACTAAATATGCTGAGAATTAAAAAAAAAATCATAACAAGCTTTTTTGTAGCCCGGGTACCATCCTATTTGTATGCTGGGGCTCTCATACTCCCCCCTTCTTAGTGGGGACCCGGGAGTATGAGAGCCCCGGCATACAAATAGGATGGTACCCGGGCTAGCTTTTTTGTTGACAATGCAGAAAATTGCTAGCCTGAAATCTGGCTGTGAACACTATACATGTTTTTTTTAACCTTCTCCCTGCTGCCTAACCCAATATCCAACACCAAATGGCTAGTTTAGCAGGCTAAAGTTGACTCACGTTGCACTTGTGAGGAGGTATTTCTCTGCCTTCACTAAACAGGACTCAGCTGAAAACAACACAGAAACAGGATGTCAGTACAACTCTCTACAGACCCTGAGAAATTCATTAAATCAAGTTTTGTTTTTGTTATATACAAGTCTGGGGAAACCTACTACAGTAAATGTGAACAGGTGCTCATGTGTCAACTTGTGACATAACTAATCTGGACAACTCTGAACCGTGCCTAGCTAGGGCTGTTTCACTGCAAAGACTGGCATAAGGATGCCTTACTCTAACCTTAACCTCATCCTAATTCTAACTCAACTCTAAACCTGACCCTAGCTAACCCTAACCATAACTGTAATCTAAGTCGTTCTAGTTATGGTATAAAGTTGCCCAGATTGACAAGGGACCAAGTTGTCATGTTGCCAAGTTGTCCTGAAAAGAGTTCATGTAACGTTACTTACTGGACCCAGGCAGCAGGAACCATTTACTGCACTCCTGAAGGGGGGAAACGATACTGTAATTCACTTTGAGTTCACGGTGGCAAAATTTCACGGTGTGAGAAAAATCGAGGTGTTCACGTACTGATATGTTCACAGTGGCGGCGGGCAGGGGAATACTAGTACTCAAAAGAAAATGTTTTGTGCACCGCGCGCCCTCCCCCATTCTGTTGGCCTGGGTACCATCCGGATTTTGATAGATTTTTCTAGTGTAACGGAGCAAAATCCGGATGGTACCCAGGCTAATTTTCTGTCTTGTTAACACAGAATCTAAGTATTCAGCAAATTAGAAACAATTGCAAAATAGAAACTTTCTTGAAAAAGTGAAAAGAAGTAAGGCAACGTTACCTGCAGCACAGACTGCAGCTGCCTCAAGACTGCGTTAACCTCGTGCAGCAGCAACCACCTGAACTCCTCCTGCTGTAAAAATAACAAACAAACAAAACAACTAATAAACAAAACAACAAAGCTTACACATCTGTCAAATATTGTAAGTTTTGGGGAATTTCTTGATGTACTTTTTTTATATTAGGAATTCTTGCTGATTCTGTACTGTATCAAAATTACCGAAATATACATATTTTCCCATAGGGCAACAGGGATGCATGCATGACCACTTGTATTCAACCTCCTTGGCATAACTGTGTTATTAATTAACATAATAGCCAGAAAAAAATTAAGACAGAAAACTAGATAACCTTTTCTGGGACCTTTGTCCTAACTTCCTGTCATTGCCTGTGAAAATAGCTACGAAAACACAGGCAAACAAACAGACAGCCCCCTCCATACAAATTATATGTATGGCATATGGTTTATTATGAAAACACGATAATTTATGCATGTTTGAACGTGAATTTTAAGGGCCAGTACTACACTATTGGTACCAAAAATGGACGCTTTCTAAACTCCTCTCTTTTCTCTCAATTTTGCACCAATCTAAAGACACAACTTTCCCTTAAAGCGCCTTAAAAACGACGAAATTCGATGCTTACCAAAACTCTTTCCTCTTCTTCCGCCATTTGTCTGATGCTGACCTTTAGCCTTAGTTATGAACGAGTCCACTCAGTCGCTCGCTCATTTTTAGGGGTGTCCTATAGACGGTTTATTCGGAGATCCATGATCGGAGTATAAGGGGGCAAAACTAACTGGTAATTCATGTAGAGAATATAAATGATAAAATTATGACATTGTATCGTAATATCTAAACACCTAAACTGCGATAGTTCCTACGCCATCAAATATCACACGGTTATTCTTTTCTGTATAGTCGTGGTGGTTCATTATTTCAAATCTGAATACTCTAGTTATACCTGAGTCTTACATAAGTTTCCTATTCGCCACTAGAGAACATTTTAAGAAATTTTTGGCGATTCTAGTCCTTAAATTGGCATAATAAAACTCCCCCGCATAGAATGGACCCGTCTAACCAACAACCAATCGCCATCCGTGCTGATGCCCCACCCCCTAATATGTAAACAATAACACCTGATTTTAAACCAATCGGCGGCCGTGCTGGGACCCCCGCCCCTACGTCACTTGTCAACAGAAGCACGTGGACCGTTCTGCTAATAATAAACAACAGTGCTGGAGGGCCCTCAGCCGGTTTCAACCGGACTGGGCCAGTTTGGTACCGGTAAATTGATCCGTTCCCAGACGTAGAGAAAAACAAAATCAGGCGCGGAGAGGCCGCTCGGCATAACTTCGAAGGTAACGCCGCATTTTTACTTGATCTTTGCCATGGCAAGGCGCGACACTTAATCAAGGTTATGTTGGATCTTATGTAGCAGCTAGGTGTGTGTTGAAAGTTGTTACGATTTCCTGAGTTAGAAGCTCTTAAACGTAAACACAAGTTAAGTAGGCGATCATAATATTTGACCACATTATGAGGTTGAAAGCAGTCACATACTAGTAACGTTACTTTTTCAGTTTTTAAAAATCTTGAACATGATGTGACTTAGCCTCCGTAGCCTGCTTTATATTGAACTGAGGGTTTGGTGGTCTTCGGCTGTTTTCTGATAATAGCCCAGTTCTAAAGACGGGGGTAATTCAACCAGGCCGGCTATGTTGTCTATATGCAATCAGAAAATAACACATAAAAGCTCCAAAAGACCCTGAAGACCCCCCTAACCCCCAGTTTTTGGCATGCTAAATGTGGCAAAGGACTCGAATAATTTGTGCTCAATGCATGCTACTTAAAGTACTCTTTTGTGGCTTATTTTGAAACCAGATATCTCACACTCGACTGACCTTCTCACCTTCTCACCCTGACGCCTTTAGGCCTTAGGCCTGTAAGTTGTCAGCCTCTTGGTCAGTCTTTTCCACTCTGTTCTATCTTCAGCTATTTCTTTAACTACTCGGGAGTCTGGCTCTTCTCTTCTGGTGATTTCAATGATCTGGTCCAACCATCTTTTTCTTGGCCTGCCGGCTGGTCTTTTCTTTTTGGGTTTTCAATTAAAGATTCTCTTCACATCCCTACTCGACTGACCCCAGCGCGAAAACATCCAGGACACAAGGACATGCGGTGCAACTTTGGGGGGTAGCCTGGGTGCCGTCCGATTTACTACGGGATCCTTACACTCGCTAGCCCCTTAATAAAATCTATAGATGTGACCATTACGCTTGGAATTTTTGGAAAATATCAAGCCGAATATACAAATCACCAAACGAAAAGTATGTGATCGTCTACATCCTTTTTTCGGCTAGCAAGAGTGTGTTATGAAGCCGTACCAAGTGGGATGGCACCGAGGCTATGACCTATATAGTAGTAGGCGGACCATATGTATAATAGTCTCCACCAGACTTCTTTTGCAGGGTGAATAAATCGTAGAAATCGGCCTAAAAGGATATAATTGCCCAGAGGAGAGTGCAGACCAACTGTATCCTCTATCATCTATGGCCGACAAACTCCTCTGGCCAATTATATCCCCTTTTAGGCCAATTTCTATGATTTATTCAGCCTGCAAAAGGAGTCTGGTGGAGACTAACTAATGTATATCAAGAGGAAGGAATTGTGACCTAGTTTACTGGTCGTCTGTCAACTTCTGTGGACTTCTTGGATGTGGTCGCTGTGGTTTGGGGCCACACCTGGGTTGTGGGTTTTAGAGTTTATGATGTTCATAAATCAATGGATTAAACAAGGTAGATTAGATCATTTTTGGGGGAATAGGTGCACTGGTGCACTAGAATCTACTATCTGGTCTAATTTAGTAATAGCCCGAGTGTCAACTGACTGGTGGCTCGCTGTGGGCTAGATGTCAGATCAATCCACACTCTACTAATATAATTATAATATTATATAAGCACTATACATCTGTACCTTTGTGCATTTGATCTTATGTATTCCAATTAGTCTGTCTGTTCTTGTTGCGTGTTTGCTGGTTGCTGCAGTTGACTAGCCTGGTATCCGCTCCAATGTTGGCGGGGAGCGGATCTTGGGAAGCGGACTAAAGCTAACAAGGCTGGATACCAGGCTAGTCAACTACAGCAACCAGCAAACACGCAACAAGCCAGTTGACTTTCTGTTCACCAGTTACTGACAACCCTGCACAACATGGTGCCACCTTATAATTACCCTGTTAAATATGGTTCAGTAGATAATCATAATGGTGACAATGACTGAAGAAGTTCTCCCAGTGGCAGAATCATAATTCCCGGAGAAGGTAGTTGATGCCTCAGGCGCCGGCCTTGTATTTTCGTCGTGCAATCTAAGTAAGATTTAAGATAAAGAAAAGGAACCAAAGTGTCGCAAAACCTCGAACAACAGTGCTAGCCTCCACCAGGCCTTCCTACAGGGTTACGGATCGTAGAATTTGCCAAAGAAAGGGAAGAATGCATTCAACACCACACCACACCTCAGTTAAGTGACTGTGTTCAATACCAACCTTTCCCAACCCCGTTCCAACCCAGCATAGACAACATACCAACCAAGGACAGTCATCCTTGCCTTTGTCATACATTTCTGCCTAGGGGGCGTATTTCATTTTTCTCTTTGTTCTAATTGAATGCACACGGGAATGCCAGGCTGCCTCTGAGCTACAGTTTTGTAACAGATAAAGTCCCTACAAATATAACGTTACTAGTATATAAATCTACATTTTTAACACATACATACATGGTATGACATATACAGTACATACATCATAAGGGTGAGAGCTGCCACATGTACTGAATAAAGTTAAAACCATCAGATTTAAAGCTATCTGTATCTGTATAGCCAATATAACCACCCTTCTGTGTAACACACCAGCTTCTGTATCTGTATAGCCGGTGTAACCGCCCTTCTGTGTAACACACCAGCTTCTGTATCTGTATAGCCGGTGTAACCGCCCTTCTGTGTAACACACCAGCTTCTGTATCTGTATAGCCGGTGTAACCGCCCTTCGGCGTAACACACCAGCTTCTGTATCTGTATAGCCGGTGTAACCGCCCTTCTGTGTAACACACCAGCTTCTGTATCTGTATAGCCGGTGTAACCGCCCTTCTGCATAACACACCAGCTTCGTAGGCATGTGGCACGCGGCGGCAGCTAGCTAGCTATATCACACCGAACAACTTGTTACACTCAATCTTTGCAGTCCTGAGTTCTTTTTAAAGCTTAAAAAAAGCTAAAGGAGTTGCTTAAAGATTTGGCATTTTTTTACACATAAATGTCTGACTGTCCATAGCCCCTCAGTGAAATAATCAGCTATGCAGGTGGCACAGAGAGGCCTGCAGGTGTTGGTGCCGGCCGCACAACACATTTCACGGAGTCTGCCAGCACTCACTGTCACCTACAGGTGGGACACCATACAGCAGCGCCTCCTGCAGACAGGTCAGTGGTATTGCAGTTCTAAGGGCTGTGATTACACCTGTATGAGCATATCATGAGATGAGCTCAACAATTTGTAATAAATAAGGAGTAAAACATTTCAGTGAATTTAAAAAAAAAGATATTTTAAAAAGGAATAAATAGTAAACCAAAAGAAAATACATTCAAACCTGTTCAAGAGGGCCACCCAAGGACAGCGTTAATTGGTCTTCTTGGAGGTGGTCTTCTTGGACAAGTGGTCTTCTTGGGTGGATTGCTTCATATTTGCACCTGCGGAAAAGAAAATTAGCCATTATGGGTAGGTGGTCAGCTTGAAGAGGTGGCCGCTTGGATAGGATTGAGAGAAGAAATCAAAAGTTAAAGGACTCAGCAAACAGCACTTAAGAAATGTTAACTTTTACCTAGCAGTACTTAATAACTGTTTCTTTTACCAAATGTTACGTAACTGTTTCTTTTAACTAGAATCAGGAAAAGGCAACAACGCCTTCCCTGCAAGGATCACTCAAATCAGACAGGGCACTTTAGGCAGGCAGCACAGTAAGTGCTATCACTACAGCAGGGGGCTAGCCCACTGGTAGTGTTGTGTGTTTAACTCCCATACTCTTTCTCAAATGCTAAGTGCTAAGCAGAGAAAGTCTTTGGTATGACTCGGCTGGGGATTAAACTCGATCACGACCTGCCTCATTCTTGTATGTAGCATCAGGTAAAGGCGACAATGCCTTCCCTGCGCGGACTACTCAAATTAAGTGAGACGGGTGCTTCAGCCAGGTTTTATCCAGTATCAGACAAATCAAAAGTTGAGGAAGTTATAGAAGAGTAGCAAATAGCACTCTTAACTGTTTCTCTTGTATACCCCAGCATCAGGAAAAGGCGACAATGCCTTCCCTGCAAGGACCACTCAAATCAGACAGGGGGCACTACAGGCACACCAGCTCGGCCTGGACCTGTCCGAGGAGACAGCCGCTGCGACGGCAGAGCTGAGTTTCGATGATCCGACACAGGCCTTCAAAACAAAATCAACTTGGGAGATTGCCCGGGCTCTACTGGTGCTGAGGCTGTGCTCCTTCGATGTTCTGGTCGACAACAGTCTCAAGGTACTAGTCAGGCTCGTTAAATGCTTTATTAATTACATGTAGTTCTAATGAGTTCATGATGAAACCCACCTGGGAGATCGCATGGGCTCTACTTGTACTCCGACTGTGCTCCTTTGATGTGCTGGTCGACAACAGTCTTAAGGTAGGCAGACTCGTTAAAGGTTTTATTAATTAGCTTAATTACAGTAGGATTACTTAACTACAGCTGAATATTGATGTCTGATACATACAGTGTACTGGTTCTTAAACTGTGTTTCTTGGACGTTCCGGTCGACAACAGTCTTAAGGTAGGCAGGCTCGTTAACTTACAGTAATTAGTAATTGATGGGTGCATGTTTACAGTAGGATTACTTAACTACAGCTACATACTGATGTCTGATACAGTGTACTGGTGCTTAAAGTAAACTGTGCTCCTTCGATGTGCTGGTCGACAACAGTCTTAAGGTAGGCAGGCTCGTTAAAGGTTAACTTACAGTAATTAGTTGTAATGAGTGCATGATGCTTACAGTAGGATTAATTATTTCAAGCATATGGCTGTATGAAGTGCTCTGACTGTGTGTGCTACTTTGATGTATAAAAGTCATAGATTAGAAGTTTAGACTTCCAGGTAGAACACTATGTCACCATAGTAACTGGTACTGTAGCAGACACCCCATGGTATTGGGTTACATTTATGTGTAGGACAGTGTACTACAAAAGCAGTCATTAGACAAATAACTCGATAGATTCTGAGCTGAAGAGTCATATTTATCAGTCAAAGCATACGCTATCTTTCATCAGTGACTGATCATTCTTACGACTAATGCTATCTAAAATCTGATGTGGATTATCATATAATGTATTTAGAAATATTTGAATCCATCTGCAAGGATATTATAATAAAATTACAACTTACCACATAAGAAAAAGCTCACAATCTACATTTGGCCCCCACACAGCTGATGAAAGTAGGTCAAAGGTTTCTGGGTCGGAGGTTATTCGAAGCCGTGATGCGTGCGACGTTCTATGGCCAGTTCATCGGAGGCGACTCGGAGAAAGAAATCGAAGCGACCGTTCGCAGACTTCTGCACTCCGGAATACAGACCTTGCCAGCGATAACCATAGAGGAGGATATTGGTGATGAGATTGTCATCAGGTGGGTTTATTTGTTACAGCTGTCACCATGGTAACTGGTGCTGTAGCAGACACCCTGTGGTGTCGGGTTCTATTATGTAGCAAGTGGCAGGACAGAGTTGGGGGGGCTGGTTGCCATATATATTATATGAATGAGTTTGAGTCAGAATAAGCAGAGCAGTAGTTTGTAGGCGTAGACCAAGTGAAGGTAAACATTATATTAGGCATTTGCTTTGCAAGTGTTAGCTTTTTGTTTGTTGTGTGAAAGCCCACTGGTTATTGGTTTTCCTTTAATGCCCACGACCATGATGATCATTCTGGCATACCCATTTTCATATATCTAAGCAAAGTTAGGAAAGTCATATGTTAAGTGCCTTCAAGCTTTCCCAAACTAAGGGCACAAGGCCACGTGAGAAATGGCAGGACTCGAACCTGGGACCTCTTGGTTCTGAGCCAAATTCTCTGCTGTTACGCCACACAACCCCAACGGTCATTGAACCTTCTGATACAGTCTCTTGCTAATTTCTTAATGAAATTATTCATGACTGATCTCCATTTCCCTTTAGAGAGGAGTTTTACGACTCTGCGACCCAGTTTTACCTGGACTCCATCCGGCTGCTGGCCAGGCTGTCTGACTACGTGGAAGTTCCGCTGTTCCAACTCAGAGTCACGTCATTCCTACATGCAAACCTGCTGGTAGGAGCGCTATCAGGATCTTTTGTCCAGTACCAGTGTTCTCACCAGGCCTTTTGAGCATAGGGGCCCCTATGCTGTGATTTGGACCCCCTATGCTGTGATTTGGACCCCTATGCTGTCTTTCAACCAGCATAGGGGTGTTTCAAACAAAGGTGTAACAAACAAAGGTGTAACAAACAAAGGTGTAACAAACAAAGGTGTAACAAACAAAGGTGTAACAAACAAAGGTGTAGCAAAGGTGTAACAAAGAAAGGTGTAACAAAAGGTGTAACAAACAAAGGTATAGAAAACAAAAGTGTAACAAACATAGGTGTAGAAAACAAAGGTGTAGCAAACAAGGTGTAGCAAACAATTTGCTATTTAGGTGTAGCAAACAAGGTGTAGCAAACAATTTAGGTGTAGCAAAGTTGTAGTTGTTATGTTTCCACAACTAATTTGTCTTTCCTTGCTGAGAGAAGTTTGTCTTTTCTAGATCTGAATGAGTTTCTTTAGTGTTGTAACTAGATGACCATAGATGTCATAATAGAATTTCTTAGTAGTATCTGGAGTCTATAGCTGATTCAGAAGACTTCTGGCTGGTTAACTGTACAATATCATCAGAAAATTATGCCTTTTATCTACTGAAGCCTCTTTTCTTCCCCAGGTGATCATGAGTAAACACCTGGATTCAGGCTGCCCAGAGTTGTCGGTGGAGAACCTTGCAAGTGGCCTGGCTGAGGATAACCAGGTATATATGGGTTTAAACTTTCTACCTCTGCTGCTGTCAAACCCTTTAAAAAGAACCAATAGAAAATCGGTAGCTACTTCAGTGTATTTTAAAGACCATTATTAAATAAAAACAACATTGAGTTATGCTGTCTTTCAACCAGCATAGGGGTGTTTTTTTGGAAGAAAATTAATAAATCTAAAAATGAAAATATTACTTCAGAATTAAGCTTTAGCAAAGGGAAAACCTTAGGTTCACAAAGTCTGTCCATCAAAAGTGAGAAATAGTGTCTTAGGGGGTTATGAGTTTCAATTTTTGAGGGGCTCAATGTGCGACTTGCGCCGCAAAAGTTGCCCTTCTGCACCTGACTCCTATGCTGTGAAAAAATCCTGGTGAGAACACTGAATCAAATCAACATGGCCTTACCTAAAATACCTTTGCAGAATTTCCATGTATCTGTGCTGACGGACCAGGAGAACGACCACCTGCGGAACACGTTGCGCCGGATCCACGCCGTCTGCCGCGAGTGCGCCGAGCGGAGAATCTGGCTCACGGCCGACGCGGAGTACACGTACATGCGACCCGCCATGACACAGCTCATGCTCGCTGCCATGTTCAAGTTCAACAGGGACCAGCCACTCATATGGAACACCTACCAGTGCTACCTCAAGGTGCTTAAAAGTTCTCAGAGGTTTCTAGATGAAAGCAGGATAACATGAAAACTGAGGGCGGGGAGAAAAACTTAAATGTGCCACTAATTCACTCCTGAAACTGTGTCTGAATGTTACAGACTGTCTTCTTAGACTGTGTTTTCTTATCCCAAAAAACAGTTACTCAAGCAACTGGATATGATTTTGAAAACGTCAGACGTTTCAGCTAGTATCCACTAGCTTTCGTCAGTGACTGAGAGACCAGAGGGGAAAGCAGGTTTATATACACAACCTGTTGATTGATATGCAAATAAAGTGAAGACAAATTTTGTGTATATAAACCTGCTTTCCCCTCTGGTCTCTCAGTCACTGACGAAAGCTAGTGGATACTAGCTGAAACGTCTGACGTTTTCAAAATCATATCCAGTTGCTTGAGTAACTGTTTTTTGGCATATCGTATTACCTGGATGTCTAACCTTCATCGACGTGTGTTTTCTTATCGTTTATCTTCTTGCTCTGAGAACCTACAAACTAAATGGTTTGGCCTTAATATGACTTACGTTTTACAGAATGGTGTCCTTGTGATTTTTCATCTATTTGCACACAATGTTCGGATGGAAAATGTGATGGTTCGCAAGCCTGGTATCCGAACCTATTTTAGCTGTAAGGGAGGACAAAAGAGACTGTCTCTGCAGCTAAAATAGGCCTGGATACCACGCTAAGTGTCCATTCCAATTGTGTCTACACCAGGGTGCGCATGATTACATCACTCGAGACATCCAGCTGGCCAAGGACCTCGGCATGTGCTTCGGGGTCAAACTCGTGCGCGGGGCTTACATGGACAAGGAGCGCGCACTGGCCAAGAAAAAGGTGAGAAACTTAATATGAATTATATAAGACTTAATTGTTGATTAGACATGCTGTATACACTCATTGATTAGGGTTCAAATTCAATGTTAGCATGGTCCATGGAGAGTTATGCCCTTAGAAAAATCAATGGCAAACTTATGTGGAGGTGGTCGGAAAGACAATCAGTACCAAGGACAGGTTCGTCATGCACAGAACTGGGTCTTTCTATGGCAATGCCTGACCTAAAGGATATATACTATGCAGTCTACAAATGTTGTGTCGGAAAAGATATTGTCTGCAAGAGGCGACATTCAGATGCAAAAAATGTGGAAAATCCAGGTTTTACATGTGTCACGTTCTGCCGACATGCTTTTACACTAACTTTTAACTCTAACTCTGGGTCCATTAGGGCTACAATGGCCTTATGCACCTTATGGCCCGATTGGTAGCAGCACATGGCAGTTTTTGTAATAGACTATGTTTAGATGCAGAATAAACAAACAAACTCTCCAACCCTGCAGGGCTACGAAGACCCTATAAACCCCACATACGAAGCGACAGGAGAGATGTACCATCGACTGCTGGACACCATGCTGGGGGAGATCAGTACCCAGGGCCAACGATGCAGACTCATCGTCGCTAGCCACAACGAGCAATCCATCAAGTATGCAGTCGCAAGGTGGGGCAGAGTTCACAGTTCACAGGTCAAGTCCTACAAGCTTGCTAATGCTTCAGGTGCTTAGTTGCTGCTTGTAGAGGATTGCATCTTGAAATGCTACATGTATCAGGAGCTTGTAACTTTTTTTATCAACACTTTAAACCTTCTTCCTGCTCACTTATGTTACTGTAACAGTAACTGTAATCTTTGTTACATTTTTTCATCAATTTTTAATTTTTTTCCCCACAGAAGTTTCTCAAGTTACAGATTTTGGTTATGATATTAGGCATCATCAGTTATTGCATTTTTGTGGGTACATGTACTAGTAACTATTGAAGCCGGTTATTACATCTTTCCATACAATATTTAAGATTTACAGCTAGAAGGACAGTCTCTGGCTAAGAGATCTACTAGTAGAAATTAAACCAACTTAATTTTATATGAGTCCGAAAGACAGGAGACGGGGCCAGTAGATGCAGTTTTTGTAATTAGACTAGACTAATGTCTGATGCAGTGGCAGCCAAGGGAAGGGGAGCTTTGCATGCGTTTAGGGGCAAATAAATGCCTCGCACATAATATACTAACATGGCAATCAGTGTTCATCTCTTAATACTACTTTCTTCCCCTCAATTTTGTCTGGATCAAATGAAGTTGTGGAAATGATTTTGTGCGATTTCCACTTTGGTGACGAATTGTTACCTTACAGTCTAACGTCTTAAACTGATTGCGAAGGCTGAGGGTCAAGGGTCAAGGGTCATGCAGCTTTCTGGTTGTCAGGCTGCAAGGTCACCAGCTCACTTCTGGGGTCGCTCAAGGTAGCTGGTAACTAGGGACCTGTGCAGGTCATGGGTCGTGGTAACTATGGCAACGGTAACTATGGTAATGGTAACTATGGTAACGTGTCTGTCTTCCTGTTGTAGTGCAGTCTCCTGTTTGTTAATGTCTTAGTCAAATGTCACATTTTCACACTCAAAATTTTATCATAAGCACATTATGTACAAATTTTGTACACAAATTAAGCTGGTTTGCCTTGCCAGACCATGCCACCTTATTTGTAAACTGGGTTTCTGGTTCTGTGTCTATTAAACTTTGGTTGATGCAGTAAAAATACTAGCAGAACGTATTTTATGTATGCATATACTTAGTCTATCTGTATATTTATGTAATAAGTAGTTGTTTACTTTGTGTTGGTAGTGAAAATTTCTTGTTTGTTTTGTCAAAGTTCTGTTTGTCCTTGCCTTCTTTTTTTTTTGTATCAGCCAGGCGGGAAATGTGATAAAATTCTGCGCATTTTCTTTCTTGCCTTTTTTTCCTACAGGATGAGAGACCTGGGTATTGAGAAGAATGATGGTCGTGTCTGCTTCGGTCAGCTGTATGGGATGTGTGACCAAGTCTCCTACCCACTGGGTGAGTAGTTAGTTATATGATGTATTGGGACATAGGCAGGTCGACTGGATGAATTGTATACTATTAGAAACATTTAGTGGCATACACTGGGTGAGTTGTATTGGGATTTGGGTGGGCCAACCTGTAGTTAGACTGGGTGAGTTATATTGGGACATTGGTTAACCTTCAACTGTGTGAGTGATACAATGTATTCAGGGATGTAGGTGGGCTAACATGCACTGGTTGAATTGTACACGTATATTGGAATATGCATGGGTTATGCTGGGATGTGGGTGAGTTGGCCTAGACTGGGTGAGTTGTATTAGGTGGGTCTGTAGGCTGGGTGGGCTTTGGGCATGTGTGTATGTGTGTTATAATGGCCTATGTTCAAAGAGGTTGACTGAAGTTTTTATTATCATTCTTAACTTTTGACTGAGACGAAATTCAACCATTTTCAACTTTTATTGTCTCTCAAGTTCTCAAGACATCTTAATCCCATCAATTTCTCAAAAAGAAGTTTTCTTTTATTTCTTATTTTTCTTTAAACTCCAGGCCAGGCCGGGTATGCGGTGTACAAGTCCACGCCGATCGGCCCCATGGAGACCACGCTAGCGTACCTTCAGCGTCGGGCGCTGGAAAACCGCTCGGTCCTGAGCGGGATTCGCAAGGAGCGCGACCAGCTCTGGAGCGAGATGAAGAGGAGGATGGTTCACCCACGTTCCTGGAAAAACGTCTGAAAAATGTCTGTGCAAAAGGCAAGACCAGGTCTACAGTTACAGGGTTAGTAGTGTAACTAGAAAGGTAACAGCAAAAATGGACGCGATCCTGGAAGAACGTCTGAATTGTGCAAAAAGCAGGGCTCGAAATTCATTTTTGGGAACAGGTGCACACTGTCAGGTGCACCCAACCCAAAAAATTAGATTGCACAAAAATTGTTTTGGCTGCACCATATAAAATAAAACCTAATTACAGATTTTACTGGTCCTCTTCTGAGCTTAAATTTGAAATGAGGGCTAACTTCAAAATCTTAAACATGTAGTACAAGAAAGATTTTATTTTTCTGACACGTAGATGTCAAGAATATCTTATATACTACTATACATTTGATATGTACAAAAATACCTACAAAAAGATTTGTGTGCACTGTTGCACCCAGAAAAAAAATTGGGTGCACAGCTCCAAATCTGAGTGCACTAAGGTGCACATGCACCCAGTATTTCGAGCCCTGGCAAAAGGCAAGAACAGGCCTACGGTTACAGGGTTAGTAGTGTAACTAAAAGGTAACTGTACAGCATTGCATAGTTTACCTTTACATTGGTCTAGCCTAACAAAGTACTGCTCTGTTTAGAGTCAAAACTTTAGATCCAACACAAAAAAGTTCTCTCACCAAGAGCTTTTGACCAGTCGCTCTGGTCTTCCTCAGTAGACTGACCCAGTGAGGCTTGTCATGTGGCTTCTTTGAAGTGTGACGTCAACACTGGGTCAAAGGTATCTGGTCTTCCTCGGTAGACTGACCCAGTGAAGCTTGTCACGTGGCTTCTTTCAAGCGTGACGTCAACACTGGGTCAAAGGTATCTGGTAGACATGTAAACCTGTACATATGTGAGGACCACCTGGCCATTGTGACCACTTTTTGGTGGTCCCTAATGAATAATTTTCCCAGTGAAACAGGCGGTAAAAATGCTGCCTAAAATGATGACCAGTCCATCTTGACCAGATTTTATTGGTGACCTCCTAGTGGTCTACTTGAATGGGCAGTTTTAGTTGTCCTTTCATTTTGCACCTGTACCAGTATCTGAACAAATTAAAACACTAGTAACTAGACTGTACACCATTTCTTTTACACCAAAGATACATGTACTAGGTACATTACATCTCAAAGATGTTGATTTCAATGCATTTAGCACTTGAAAATCAGGAAAATTTGTAAATACTGTAACTTTGTTTTTAGATTATGTAATACTATGTAAACCCTTAATACATTGTACATACAGACCTCAATACCTCTGATAAAGATAGTTGGCTACATTATATCTTACGAATGATCTCCCAAACTTGTTAGGTACTGGTACAGGTCTGGACCTGTGTAATTTTTACAGCTCAATGACTTCTTATCCAGCAAAGGATAATTATATATTATTATATAGAATATGCAAAATGTTTACCTGATAACTAATATCGTTGGTGCCTCTACATGTACATGGCAGGCAGGCAACATAAAAAAATGTAATAAATTAATATGTAAATTTTAAGGTCTAACCTAACTAATTTTGTTAAATGTATACTGACATACATGTATTTATATACTTACAAAGATATTTGCCTGCTGAGACACTGTCTTTAGTAACTAAAACCTGTAGTCTAAATTATGATCCGTCCTCCACAGGGTGTCAAGTGTGCCGGGAAAAGGGCCAGTTTTTGCTTCTGCTTGATTTTTTTTAAACAAAAACGATTGACTTGGTGCTTAGAGTATGTCTGGTGTTCAGGGCACGCTTCCATATTTTGTAAAATAAGATTTCTACATGTAAGTACCAGGAACAACTGTGCAGTCAAATAGTAACTTTCATACTTTGGCCAAGGAGGTTAGAGTCTCCACTTAAACCTCCTTTGACAATGTAATCGTAGCAATGGCAATAGCAAAGTTTGCAATTGAAAATGTTGAAGCAATTCAGGGAACCTTGCAAGTTTTTACACCTTTAAGTATTAAATAAACCATAATTATTGTTGTACAATTGTTACTGTAACAGTTTTTGAAAGTATCATTTGCAATGTTTGCAATTTCTCCAACCATTCTGCAACCATACCAAAATGAACATATAATGCCACATCTCAATGACAAAATTGTACAGTATCACAATATACAGTATATTGTTTTTTTGTCAGAAATTACAATCTGTCAATAATAATGCCATATCTTGATTATTGAAACTGAAAATTATACAGTATCACTGTGACAGTACACTTTTTACATGTTTAATGTATTGTCAGGCATCACAATCTATCAACATTAAATGTATTATATTATATATACATATTTTTAATTGTCATAAATACCAAGAGAAAATAAAACCCGTACACAAGAAATGTGACATATTGCAATGCTTTATTTCATATTAACCATTTCAATACCATTAAATACATCTTCTAAAATCACAACAACACCAGATGCTAGTGATTGTTACCAATAAATATTTGTTACATCTGTACATGAAATATCTTCTGCTCAGCAGCTAAACTGACGATATGACTTGTAGCCAAATAAAGGCACATAACACCTCTGAAGGTCACATATTCAAGGTCACACCCTAATTCAAGGTCATACCCAAATTCAAGGTCATACCCATACAGCCACACAGCTAACTCGTGCATAGGAATACTAGGAATATAATTGTGCAGAACTTGTAACCTGAATTAAATATAGAATACTTCTTACCTTAATGTAGGTACGGGTAGCGACAAAACGACACATTAAAATGCTACAGTTGGCAAAGGTGGGTTAGGTGTAGCAGGGCAGCTGTTGTCTGCTTAAGTTCCCTTAAACTGTTACAGTTACAATGTAGCTAACATGACAAGGTTTGCTTCAGTCTGCCACTTTAAAACCAACAATAAAAAGTCGCAAATCTGAAAGAACCTAGACATCAAGTTGCTCTTAATAATAATTCTTATACTTAGCCTGCTAAAATTCCCACACATTGTATGACTTAGATAACTTCTTAACAAAAAATAACTGATGGAAGCCTTTAACAGAATGACCACAAAAAAACTTGTGATCTATGAAATTCTAACCGAAATGAAATACATTTTGTAACACATGTTGGCTTTTACTTATTGCGGCATGTTGTAGCTGTACGGACATATCAGCTCTCTTGTGCGTACAATGGTATAAAACATATCATGCTGCCAATTTAGGCCCATGTATGACCAAATGGAGCAGTCTTGGCAAGACAACAGTAACTGACTGGCTAAGCTGTCTTGGGTTATTCAACCAGTGACTTAAATATGTATGGAATACGTAAAAATGGACATGGGAAGACTGAGAATACTACAGTAACCTAAATGGCAATTTAAGGGTTATATTGAGTGGTTTGAATAAACAAAAAAATATATTCATAGAATACTTCTTTCTTAGCAGCAATGATACCCACATGGCCATGTTCCTTCGTTTGTAAAAAAAAAATACCGAAAACTCATACCATTATGCATCTAAGCACAGGGTATTTACCCTGAAATTCCAAAATCACACAACCTTTGACCTTTCCCACCTGACCCTTCACCCAAACCTCTCTCTACCCTCTTCATACCTCATCAGACTGTTCTGGCTTCTGATTGGATAATACTGGTCACATGATCCACCTGACAACCATGTTGACAAGCACATCGGCAGAACATACTGCGCCTGCCCAGAACCCTGGATTTTCGCATATAATTTTTCATTGGATTTTTGGTCAATGTTGCATCAGAATTTTCACTGTTGCAGAGGATCTTTTTTGACACAACATTTGGAAACCACTGTCGAAATTCTAACCTTATATGAGCGAATACGACCTTATATGAGACATTATGCCGAAGTGCTATGTACAATACATTACGGGTTTCGCGCAGGTGCAGTACGTTCTGCCGAAGTGCTATATTGACGCCACTCAAGTTAATTCAGAAATACATACATTACATTATTTTTGTCACGATATTTAGAGTTGCAACTTAAATGTCATGTTACCTACCCTGATTGCCGATATGTCAGTTCATTCTTTCCAAGATTGGCGTTGAATAATCCTGTACATTGCACTAAACATTAACACTAACTGTAACTTATAATATTTGACAAATTGAATCTTAGACTAGTATTACACCTGGTTTGACAAGACTTGATCATTGATGTGCGTACCTAAACATATTCGTGTACATGCATTCTTAAGCTCAACAACAAGGAAATATTGAAGCTGTGACAGAAAAATTAATACGGCCTCAAAATTATTGGTAAGGGCTGACTAAATTTAAGACATTAAAAGGTATCTGACTTAAAAGAAAAACTTAGCACTAAATTAACAGGTGGAAGCAAACCAGATTATGTACATGTAGTTTCTGTTTATCAAATACAACTTTGAATTCACATGGCTCACAAAATATGATGTACTATTTGACTGGTCTCCTAGAGATTAAGAGACTTGTTTGACATTACTTTAACATGTTTCATAAAATGAAACAGAAAAACACTTATATGGCAGCTTCATTCCCTCCCCAAGCCATGTTCAGACATCGCTATGTTCCGAAAAATATGTTTTAACACTGCACTACACTTAAAAGGTATAAGTTAGTTTGATGGCTGAGCTGTTGGTACAGTATAGGACGGTGTAACACAATTGGCAGCCGAGGAACAAACTACATACATGTAGCAGAGCCAAATAGCCAGCCCCCCTGTCTACGCAAGACAAAGGGCATTGTAGAGTCACAACCCCCAGACATATACTTTAAGTTGTACCCCCCCCCCTCTGAGCTAGCCCGATACATCTGTCCTCAAGTGTGGAAGACCCCCCCTCTCCCTCTCTCCCCAATTGCGAAGTCCAATCACACATTCTGTGCATTGGTTGTGCAGAACGTTGAGGTAGACACAGACCCACATTTTCGTCCATCTCACCAATGTACAATTTGCCACTGTTTACATTGTACAATATAGGGCTCAAAATACTACCTAGTACATATCTATGGTGCAGGTTAGTGCAGGTTAAATTGGAGCTGTGCAGGTGTTTCTGAAGTTTACCTGAACTAGTCTCTGTACAGGGTTTATTATATATTATACATTTTTGTACATGTATGTGTAAGACTTTTATTAACTGCTTCATTATTGACTGTTCTCACCTATGATGGCTTCGGAACAGTTTTAGTACATGTAATATACTATGTACTTCGTAAATTCTGAGTAGTGGTGCAGGCATAATTTATCAGGTGCAAGTAATTTTCACTGTTGCCTGCACCAGTGCAGATATGCAGAAAAGTGTATTTCGAGCCCTGACATACGCATGTATCAAACTACTGTATCAAACTACTGTAGTGTAAATCCCTTTACATTTTGTGGTACTTTTATATTCACGGTTTTCGCAGTCACTTCTGTACCGCAAGTTTGTCATTACCACAAACAATTAAGTCGTCAACTTTTTCTTTCGCACCTACCGCCACCACAAACATATATTTCCACGAACATGTCCATTTTTCTCAGACCGTGAAATTTTGCTACCGCAAATGTAAAGTAATTTACAGTATGGTGAAACAAACCTCCCCTGAACCCCCTACTGTTGTACTTTATCTGGATTGTGAGCGAACTCGAGGTGGGAGAGTCTTCTTGTGAGCTCGGTCCAGAGAAGCGAGCGCTCCTTGTACGCCCCCTTCAGGATGGCCGAGTTCTCCTGGGCTCGGCGGGACAGGTACGGAAGAACCTCCTCCACCGGACCGTACGGGACGTATTTGAACACAGGGTACCCGGCCTGGCCTGGAGGGACACAGTATATATGTATGAGGCTTTCATTTTTTACTAGATCAGACAAACAGCCATGAATGCCTAATTAGCCAAAGGATACATGTAGCTGCATACTATTTCTTAATATGACAGAAAACTTCTACACTATGACTAGGCCCTGTGTCCTGATCTTCTAAGATTATTCTTAAATTTACAAACACAGACATTTTTTTTTTTAATTTACAGGTTATCCTAAAACCACCTACTCATGTCCCATTACAAGTTACCCAGTCCAGGCTCCCCAGTCTGGACACATCCATGCACCCACCCGTCACATTACAGCACAAGTCATCAGTCTGGGCCAACCTACCCATGTAACACTACTAACAGCATAATTCATCTAGAGAGAGTGCCCAATGTACACCCAAGTCTAACCCCACCCACCCATGTCCCATACAACTCACCCAGTCTGGGCCAACCAACCAACCAACCCACCCACCCACATGATGTTACAACAACTCAGTCTGGGCTAATATAATACACCCATCCACATGGCATTACAACTCACCCAGTCTACTCCCCACCCACCCATGTCCCAGTACAACTCACCCAGAGGGAAGGAGACCTGGTCACACATCCCCAGCAGCTGCCCAAAGTACACCCAGTCTAGCCCCAACCACCCACACCCCAGTACAACTCACCCAGTCTAGCCCCAACCACCCACGTGATGTTACAACTCACCCAGAGGGAAGGACACCTGGTCACACATCCCCAGTAGCTGCCCAAAGTACACCGTTTGGTCTGCTGGTGAGATGTTCAGTTCTCGCATTCTGGAAGGGCAAAGCATCACATAAAAATTCATTTACAGGTATTTATTTATTTATTAGAATTGCAAACATAGCAATACAATGGAAGCCCTGGCATGCATGGCTGATGTCGGGCTCCACATACAAAATGTACGTACATACCGGTACATAAATATATACACATCATATACTGTATATAGTAGAGTCATAAATTATAAAATGACTTCATTTGTTACATATCAGGGGAAAGCCTTAAGGCCTTGGTGAATGTCTTGTGCACCTGAATATCTGAAGTGTGTATACCGTACCTTGAAGCATTTATAACTGATGCTGCATTATAGTAGGTGTATTTAGATTCACCTTTCACAATGTGGTGGTCTTACCCGGCAGAATCATGACAATGAGAATGAATTCGAAGTTTACTGCATATTCGTGCTCAGCATGGGCTAACAGCAGTAAACTGGGCTTACTGTAGTATGATAGGAAAACTATCAATGCTATCCTTTATTTACCACAGTTTCTATACTGTATTATGAGAGTTGTTGCAGAAGAAGCCTCACCTCTGCACCGTGTGTTTGACGGTGTCCTCATTGTGACTGGCCACCATGACATTAATGTCTCCGTACTTGTCTATCCGGGTCAGCATGTGGTCCAGACACTTGTGGTACATTCTGCAAGTCAGCACAACATCTCACTTAGAACGATTTATTACTTAGAAAGTCAGCAGAAATTATTATAATATGACACAAACAGTCTGGCATTAGAGTCTAGAAATCAGAATCAGAAAGCAAGGATCAGAAGTACATGTGGGCATACTATTTTGTTTCTGTAATATATGATTTCACATTACACTGATACAAAACAAGACTTAATACAAAGCTGGAGAAGGAATACACTGTACAAAGCTATTAGTCCTGAAGACAGACCTTAACCTAAATGCTGTCAAGAAAGTCTGAAAGCTTAGAGAAGAGAAGAAGCAGAAAAGAAGACAAAGTAGAAGACACAAATGAAGACTGAAAGACTCAACAACTCTGAGCTGCAGAACACAGTGTATCATCATCTTCACGAAGAAAAAGTCAAAATACTTACCACCATATATTCCATGTATACTTTGTCAATGTTGACACAATGTTACAGTTATTTGCTGATTTGTTTTTTGTTGGGTCAGCTAAGAATGGAAACAGACTTTAAAAGGAACCCGTCAGTACCTGTTAGTTGCCTCGTAGTCTGGGTTGATGGGATCCTCGTAGCCGACGGCCTCTGCCCGTTTCCGCTCCTGTTCCATGTAGGCGCCGCGCACCAGCTTACAGCCGAAGTGCCAGCCCTCCTTCCGCGCCAGGTCCATGTCCGCGTACAGGTTGTTGTACGCATCCTGGGAACAAGGACAACATATTGTTTGTTTATTTATTTTTGTTTGTTTGTTATTTTTTAGGCGCCGCGCACCAGCTTACAGCCGAAGTGCCTGCCCTCCTTCCACGCCAGGTCCATGTCAGCGTACAAGTTGTTGTACGCATCCTGGCAACAAGGATGACAGATTGGTTGTTTATTTCTTTATCTATAGTATATACAAGTTAACAAGTGAAAATACATGTATGGGCAAAACAGGTGAATGTTAACCTTGAGTTTACAAGCTGTCCTTTCAGACACTATCATTTACTAACAGTCTCGTACAATGCAATAGCTTATATTACAAAAATGAGTTTGTCAAAAAGGAGTTCGAATTATTCTATCAAACATTTGGAAGCCCAGGCTGTACCCGTAAAGAACCCCGGGCCGTACCGCTAGTTATCACACGGGCTGAAACACCCGTATCGAATGTAATCGCGGCCCAGGTAGGACATAAACAGGAATTATGTACCTTGAGATAGCACTGGTAGGTGTTAAAGATGACTGACCAACAGTTATAACTTTTATAGGAGGTAAGGTATTAATAATACAGTATTTATATAATACCTTGAGGTAGCAATGGTAGGTGTTAAAGATGACTGACCAACAGTTATAACTTAATACGAGATATGGTAGACAGGACTACATGTAAGTAGAGATGATAGGAGTTAGAACAGAGGAGGTGAGGTATATATACACAGGACTTATGTACCTTGAGGTAGCACTGGTAGGTGTTAAAGATGACTGACCAACAGTTAAAACTTAATACAAGATATGGTAGACAGGACTACATGTAAGTAGAGATAGGAGTTAGAACAGAGGAGGTGAGGTACACAGGACTTATGTACCTTGAGGTAGCACTGGTAGGTGTTGAAGATGACAGGTCTGGTACGGTTAAACTTCCTCATCATCTCCACAGTCAGACGCGCGATGGCGGGCTGGAAATACGTCTGCTCGGCGTCCACCATCAGACGAACACCGTGCTCCTGTGCAGCCTGCGGACAGCGGAAGACAAACATCCAGATGAAGATTACTAATAGACATATCGAGCTAATCAATACTCATTTGACAAAGACAATTCAAACTCTACTACGGGATAAAGTACGGTCCAAGATAAATTTCGGGCGTTTCAAGCAACGTTTGGGACTGTGTTCTTGCTGCAAAGTGCCACCTACACCTACATCTACATATAGTGGCAAGAAGCAGAACTCAAGTCACAAGCTCTGAGGAAGGTGTCTGATTAAGACACCGAAAGGTAAGCAAAATGAGACAATACTGGTTGTGTAAAAGAAAATCCTTATATCCTATACTTTACCAACCTGGTGAAACTATTTTTGGAAGTTCGTCGGTGAAGGTTAGACATCCAGGTAATAAGATGCGCCAAAAAAACAGTTACTCGAGCAACTTGACATGATTTTGGAAACGGTCAGACGTTTCAGGTAGCATCAATGTCACTAAGAAAAGGTAGTGCGTGCTATCTGAAATGTCTGACCGTTTACAAGATCATATCCAGTCGCTTGAATAGCTGTTTTTCGGTGTATTATCGGAAGTAAGAGGAAACCCCACCTCAGCTAACATGTTCATGCGCTGCAGCATGTTCTTCATCTGCACCTCCTCCTCCTCAGTGATGGAGGACATGGCCGGCTCCAACTCGCCTGTCTCGATGTTCGGCACCACAAACAGCTTCCGTAGGCTGTGACTAGGCTTCAGCATCTGGTTCCACTCCAACAGGTCTACATCACTGAAACAGGACAGAAAAAAAGCATTAAAAACCCTATCAACTTATAGTCAAACCTGGATGTAGTGACCTCTCAAAGAACTAGTAGTTCTATGCCTGAATAGGTTTACATCCCTATACCGGGGCAGAATGCCATCCTGTTTCACTTGTAAACCTGTCCCTGAATCCGGCAGAAAACCATCAACGTAAGCTGACACCACTTAAGTAACCTGACACCTTCTATGAAACCCGACACCACCTACCCAGAAGCGTCCTGGTCCATCCAGGTGAACCACCTGCCTGACTCGTCCCGGCTCATCGGAACTCCCAACTCCTCCAGACGGTATCTGACACCACACATGTAACCCGACACCACCACATGTAACCCGACACCACACAGGTAAACCGACACCACCTACCCAGAAGCGTCCTGGTCCATCCAGGTGAACCACCAGCCCGACTCGTCCCTGCTCATCGGTACTCCCAGCTCCTCCAGCCGGTTCTGGAACACCTCCTTCGTCAGTTTGCGTTTCACCCACGGAAGCTTCTCTTCTGCCGTCGTCAGCACCTCGAAAAACTGCCTCGTTGTCGAGAGAACATCCGACAATTGTAGCTACATAGAGGACATAAAAAATCTTGGATTATCCTGAGCTGTTAGTACATAATTGCTAAATGCAGTAGATTTCACCTGTAAAAAGGAAAGCTATATTCACGAAGTTTTGACATTTCTGAAAAAAGAAAGAAAAATATGAAGTCTCATATCCTTGCTGTCTATTGGCTTATATAAACTTTTACATGATTTGTGATCATCTTAATTGTAAGTATTAATCTGCCAAAAAATGATGAGGGACCTTTTAATTTTGTTGAGTTGAAAGAAATATGATTTTCTGTAAGTTTAGGGGGTCCAGCCCGTATTTGTTGTGAACTCTGATATGAGACCATGCAGTGTAAGAATAAGAACTTGATCACCCAGCTTGACCTTGACCTTTAAACAAATCAGCTGGTCAGTAAAGTCATTTTTCTCGAAGCCCAAAATTAATAAATAACACAGGAAGCAAAAATATGTCATCCAGTCAATGACACAGGTTTGGCAGAACTGTGCTAATGATGTCTGTTGTAGACAGCCATCCTCACATCACTCAGAAATTACCCGCCCCCAACCTTTGACCTGCGTGTCACGACCTGAGGGATGACCTATGACCTACCAACAGTTGGGGTCGGCCAAGAGCGGTCAGTTTGATGGCAGCGAAGCCGTCGGTGCTGGAATAACCTGACCGAGAGGACAGAACAGAAACGGAGAAGGCATTTAGCGAGACTGTGTACAACTCGAGACGTAAACCTGAAAAGGAGGGAGTTATTCTCTTTATGCATCAGATGCTTTTGTTTTGATGCATCGAACAGTTGTCCACCTTTTGTTGTTCGACTAAGGCCACACCGATTTAATTTTATGGATGACATCCTCTGAAGACCCCCAAACTAGTGCGCGCGGGCGAATAAAAAAAAATTCCGGCCCAAAATAAAAATGCTACTAAACCACAGGAATACAAAGCTGGTATTGTGAATTTGCGGCAGTACTTAGCAACGTATACGACATGCTGGCTTGTTGCGGCATTTATGAATTGGTACTGTACTTATGTACTTTCTTGAGTCGCGGAGCTTCGAATTCGATATCCTGGGTGCTCGGCTCCGTATTGTCGCTAACTACCATGGACTACCCAGGCCTAGAGCCAGGCCAGAGCCTCGGTGGACGTAATCTTTTTTTTTTTTTTGAGGGCGACAGGCGAAAATCAATGTGCGCGCGGATATCATCCATAAAATTAAATCAGTGTGGCCTAAATGCAATCAATATTGTCATGTCCTATATATAATTATTGTCCTGTATGTTCAATTATTGTTCAATATACATACTTTTTCCCAAATTCTGACTGATAACAAGAGAAAGCAGGATGTACAATTTTTTTTAGACTTTGGTGCAAGTTCCGAAGTGTGGTGTCTCACGAGTGTTACGGTTACAGTTACGTGAATCTTCAACATTTTACTATCATGATGCTTACTACTAACAATTTCATGATAACTTAGCTAGTACTATTCAGTCGAATAGTAGCCCCCCTACCTGCAGCCTTGATACAGTTGAGGAAGATTTTGACGTTTTCGTCACACTTGTGTTCGTCCTCGTAGAAGTACGTTCTGGCGCTGACCACGTCCTCCCGACGGTCACCAAACTCCTCGTGAGCCTTAAACTTCTCGCTGTGGATTTCTGAGGAAACACAATTATTACAGCGTTTAAGAGGGATAAGAATTATAATGATAATTATAAATCACAACATGTGCTCAGAATGCCTGAAGAACGGTTGCTCAAGTTCCTGCTGGAATGGACGCCCAACTATGGGAAAAGATCTAGAGGAAGACCGAGGAAGACATGGCTGGCATGTGTACTGGAAGATGCCAGGACGACCATGCACCAACCCAGTCTGACTCTAGATGACCTGAAGTCGATTGCCCACGACCGCCAAGTATGGCGCAGGACGCTGTGTAGACGGAGGGACGACTTTGACGCAGGCCACTCACAAAGCTGAGGAGACCTTCTCAAGTACAAGTACAAAGTATAAATCACAACTAGCTACATCATATCAAGTACTCAGGTCCTGCTGAAATATCCAGATCCCTTAAAATCTGTACGTAAATGTATTGTTTTCAAATGGTAGTAAACAACTTGCAACTGAAGGTCATCTTCTCCTCCAAGCTTTGGATGACCTAGCTTGGATTGATCTCTGAAGGTCGCCCCCCTCCCGCCCTGCTGTTCGATAGAATGAATGTTCCATCTTTACCTGACTGGTCGGGTTCGGCTGAAGACACACAGGAGCTGGAAAAAGGGACAAAAGAATTCATGATTTAATTTGTCAACTGTCTTAACAACAGATGCTTATCAAAAGGTTACAATTATCAGTTACTATTTTTCAGTTTTTATCACTCAGTGTATGATGATTATAAATTTGTTCTGACCACTCACTTTTTCCCTGTCGCAAAATTAAGACACAAGCATTAAAAGTGACCTGCCCAAGAAGGCCACCTGTCTAAGAAGGCCACTTTTGCTTGGTTCTCTGGGTGGCCTTCTTACATTGTCAGCAGGTTGAGATAACTTCTGCTTCAATTTGGACTTCCAAAAAATTTCTCTACTTATCCGCATATCAATCAATAGTTTGTGCTTATTAAAACCTGCCTTTTGCACAAGTCTCCAGTGTCATTGACGAAAGGTAGTGGATGCTTAACCTGCAAACAATCTGACCGTTTCCAAAATTCCAGTTGCTTGAGTAACTGTTTTTCTTTACATACGTGAGATGACTGACATATTAAGAGAACACTTACTCCATCTCCGCAGACACAGCCTCGTCCCTAGACAGATCCTCCTCCACGGAGTAATCGAGGATAGACCCGACTCCGAACTTCTCCATCCTCTTGATTAGGGGCTTGATGCTCTCCTGGTCCTCCCCCGCCACAAAGTGCCCGTAAAACGTGGCCTTCATGCAGTTTTTGAACAGGCGCCTCCCCAGGACACGGCGGCCGAGCTTCATCAGCTGCAGAGGACCCAGAGAACAGAAGGATGGATTTAACCTTGGGTTGGTTATGGCAAAGAGGTTGCCAGGTAAAATTTTTATTCTAACCTCCTTTGTTACAGAGATAGATGGCAGGGAGAATAAAAAAATTGACATTAAGTTTCGATGGTTACGGGAGATTTCATTGAATGTTGATGTTCATGTGGTTTTGTGAATTAGTGTAGAAAAAAATAATAACTTTATTATTATTACATCAATATGGTGGTGTTTTGAGAGGGATTAGTGTCAATGATTGTTGATCTAGCAAAAATAAATAAGAAGAAAAGCCACTTTGTTTCACTCTCCCTTGCAGCAATTCAAATTGCTCTTTTCAAATTGCAGACTTTAATTAAGCTACCTGAGCATGTCAATTGACGTCAATCCATTCTTATTTTCCATGGGACAGTGACTCAGGTAACGTCATTTTCTGTTGCACAAAGAATTCGACCTACTGTCACTAAAGCCTGGCATTGTCCCTGGCTGCTACAAAAAGCTTGGGTCACATAAGCACCTACAATTGTGCTGACACTCAGAAAACCACACAATGTCATGCAAACATGACCTTTGTACACTATTCTGTGACAATAATTCTAAGCACAACGAATATGTTAAACTCTTGCATTTGACTAAAATTCTAAAAGACTGACTGTTTTATCCAATATAACCTATTGTGTATTTACTCTTAGCTTCATCAGTATTATCACACAATATAGGCTGGAGTGCCCTTTTTCCCAGTGTCAAGAAAAAAAGCTTGCCATTATTTAAGAATTGCCGGTTCTCTTGAAACCTACTTAACTGGTGATCTTGCAAACTCCTGCCCTACTATGTACACAGTTGACTTCAAACATACAGTCGTAATTGCGGCACCAAATCAACATCTGAGTGTTCACATGTCACAGTGTGGCACACAAGGTACTTGTTATATATACACAGGGGCTAAACAGTAACCAACTGCATACCTGTACGGCTAGGTTGGTATTTGATGGGTATACATTTGCACACACATCGATCATTACACGTGCAACAATTTCTAATAAGTGCAAGATGGAAATTAAGGGGCTAAATTTACGTTTGATGACAACAGGCCTTAGGGTGAAAACCTTAGATTTTCTTAATTCTATTATCTACAAAATTGCAAAATTGGCAGATTTTGGCGTTAAATAAATTGCATTATGACAGCAAGTACTAGTACTACTAGTACTTAAAATTTATATAAATTTGAAAATGCACGACACTGAGAATGAGATGCATGTTTTTTCAGTTTTGAAAAATTGACATGATCATCACAAAAAAAATGATGATGCTTAAAAAAGCAATCATAACTGTTTAATTATACGTAAAAGCTTTAAAACATGAACCAGGACATGTTATTAATATTAACAATAACTGTTTCACTTGTGCCAGCAAGCAGGATGTGCAAAACTGTATGTTTTAACTTTGTCTATTTCTGTCCCATCGGCCCCAGTGCTTGCAGGCCTCAAAATCACATGACTCCCTTATCATAACACTTGCGGATATCACATGTGTGCACTGGGTCAAGTATTTATGGAACTGGTCCTGTTTGTACCCCCCTATAGATTTAAGAGCACTTGGTCCTCGTTCAACCATACACCCTCCAAAACAACACAAGCAGAATAAAAGGGGCAAACGTAATTCAAGCCTTTAGGGGGGTTTTCAACTTACCCAACTGGTGTCAGCAATTTTAACCCAATTAACAAAATGTTTCTGCCTAAGTTCTGCAAGTACTAATAGTAACAAGAAAGATAACTCTGCATCCCAAATAAGTTTGCCAGCATTATTTCATACACTGAGCCTCTGATCAACATATAGCTGATCTCTTTCGCTCACAAGATGACACATTGACAAATGAGTTATGTATGTCTGTCACTAAAACACTGTCAGCTGATGATTTATTTCTTCCTAGTGATAAAAGTTGACAACTTGATCAAGTTGATGACAACTGCTTGGATCCAAAAACACACAACTGCTGGAAAATTAGGGTTAGCCTATATCGTATAATAAAGTCCATACAGTGCAACCAACCATAAAGTGATAGGTACACAATGCAGGCATAGGTCAATGAACTGAATGCATTATGTGATGTGTCCTGTAGTCAACTATACAGCCAAAGGCATGAATATAAAATTAGGTCAATGACCTATGTCCTTGACTATACAGAATGGATGAGCACTAGTCTGGTAAGCTGTGCTCTGGTTGATTGATGAGTGCTCAGTGACATAATGAGGTCACCCTTTTTGTGTAAAATGTTAAAATAATTATCACATAATGTGGACTTAAGGATAGGCTTGAAACATAAAAAAAATACAAAATCAAAAAATACAATGTATAGCGGAAAAGTGTCAAAAAGTGGCTCAAATCCTCCTACAAGGAAGGAAAAAGTGGAAAAACAGTAGATCAAAGGCATTCTTGTTTTTCTGTTCTAATTGCAGGGACATGTAAGAATAATTGCCCTAGAAACACTTGGGAGGTGTCCCATGACAGGGTAGGGGATGGTCTGCTATTTGTCTGCCCCAACTGACAATATAATGACTAAAACAGACAAGCTCAAATAAAAAAAGAAATAACGAAAAAATAACAAAAATCACCTTTATTTTTTTTTAATGAGCAGTGCCCATGTCGTCATTTTGTGAATAATTATATACTTTGCTAGAAACGTATTTTCCAAAGTCAAAGAGAGAGAGAGATAGAAAGAACTTAAACTCGAAGAAAACAAGGCAAGGTTTCCCACCTTCATGATCGTTACATATCTCAAACTTCAAGATAATAAAACGTTGATATATTTATACGTGTAAGTTATGTTATAAACAAGTACAAAAGTGACTGAGTAGTCGCACCTGAGTGTTGTTTCTCACGATGATATCGAAAGAACACAACTTGAAGACAAGCAAAGCCCGCAGAATTTCCCGCGTGGTTTTACTCTTGTAGGCCTCCAAGGCGTCGTCAAAGTTGAGGGAAACGATCGGAAACTGTCGGACTTGTTCCCCGTAGTCATGCCGGATGTCAAACCGGGACTTAACTTCGGGGACATCGGCGGGAACATCGGCGGGCTGGGCGTCGGCCTTGTCCGCGGCAACAGCCGCCCGCGCCATGTCCACCTTCACCCGGACCGGAGTCACCCGGACCTCGGCGATCTGGGGCCGAAGAAGTCCCCGGGAAACCCCCGGACATAGTCTGATCACAGTCAACCTGGTCGCCATCGCTTTACAAGACAAGTAGACCGGCGGTGAGTTGCGTAAGGTTGTTGTACAGCTACCGCCCCATCACTCTGTTGTTGTTGTCTAAACGTGATTGACGTACAACTGCTTTCCGGTCAATACCTTTGTGCACTGGATAGCAGTTATGGTTACCAAACTAGGTGAAAAGGCTGCAAGACAACTGCAGGTTGCCAAGCGTGGTGCCCTCGGAATCACGCCTGGTCATGTGACGGTTGGTATTACGTATCTGGGGTAGGTCGACTTTATTTAGGGGGACTTCTGAGTTATATTGGTACACAAATAACACAATATCCAAAGCTTTGTAACATATTTGTTAACTTATTTCTATTATATATCTATAACCTATCAATTTGTTTCAAAATATGGTTTTAACTATTACTTATTTTGAAAAAGAAAGAAAAACATTTACAATGTATTCTACACCTCCCCTTTCTAAGAATGCAATGTACCCAAAGACTGGAACAAACTGGTTCAAGCTGGCTTGCCAAATACGTTCGATTTGACTTTGACTTTGCCTGAAAAAATCGCGTATTCGTGCCGCGTATTCTCATTTCGCCATCTTTACCTTTCAAATTCATCGCTGACACAAGATTTATGAAATGCCAATCTTGCGATACGCAGAGACGCGTTCAAAACATGCGTAACATAGCAGAAGGAAACATGATCTGTTGTTTTGCAGGGATGTCCCAAAGTCTAGGGCGTGCTGGGGGTGTGTCAAAATTCTCGGCTCTGATTGGAGGAGATCATAACACAGGTTCAATGTCAAAATGGCAGGGAATTTCCCATGTTATTCCCCGGGAAAAAGTGTAAAATTGCTTTTATATAGCTGGAAATAATACATAGAGCGTTCTATAGCGAAACAACATCATCTCGAGGTGTCCAGAAGTATAAAATGTAGTAGCCCAAGCATCACACCTATAAACCGCTAGGTGATGCTGCTAGATTGGCAAAATAAAGTACTAGTAAGCCATCTGGTGACCTTTGACACCATCGTACGATGCTCGCGCCATAATTTGCTTGGCAACTTTCTTTGGCGGCGAACTTTGATCATCGCTTCTCGCAGACTCTTTTCGTGGGTTCTACGTTCTCAATGGCGGCTCTAAATGGAAAGGTAGGATACAACAAGATTAGGCTTGCTTTGAGCAGTGTATTATGAAACAACAAGAAGGTGAGCCCAAAATTTAACTTTCTCTCCTATATTAAAATTATGTTCCAGTTTTGGACATTTCTGGACTCCCTGCCCTGAAAGTAACGCTGTTCACGTTATTCATACCGAATTATGCATCTCTATGAAATACCGAATTTCAATTTAATACTCTGTTAATTGTTTATAATTGATCTACACATAGTAGTAAGATATGCCCACATTTTCATGTGACATCATAATTTGCAAAAAAGTCTCAATGGTCTTGTTTGGTAAGACCAAGGAAATCCCTAAGGAATTTCTTCATGTCCCTCATTTTGCCCCCCAGGTTGCTGTGATCACGGGAGGGAATGCTGGGATAGGCCTGACCCTCGCAGAGAGGTTGCTGACCCTTGACCCGACCTTGACCCTATGCCTGGCCTGTAGGAACATGATGAAGGTCGGGAGTCGTTGATCTGTATCTGTATAGCCCGTATAACCGCCTTTCGGCGTAACACACCAGCTTCGCAGGCACGTGGCGCGGCAGCAGCTGGCTATATCACACCGATCGACTTGGTTGATGTTATTGTAATTTGCTCGTTGTATTTTGGATGGCACACACGTGAGAACATCGCTGAACTAAAACGTTGTATTTCACAGGCAGAAGCAGCGAGACAAGCCCTTCTGACCTCTCACCCCGGGTCACGCGTGGAGTGCGTTCGGCTCGACACCAGCGACGTCCAATCAGTTTACGCCGCTGCACAGAAAATCCAGGAGGAATACCCGCGGGTGGACTACCTCTACCTCAATGCTGGTACGGAGAACTTATCGTATGCAGAACTGTGCCGATAATCTATTTCTTAGAATAAGTTAGATGCCTGAATGGGTTAGGTTTAGGGTCAGGCACGATTTTGTATAGTCTCTATTGTATCCATAGCTGTGCCTATCTAATTCTATGCCTGAATCCAGGGTTAGGGTAAGGAGCAGGCACGGTTCTGGATAGTCTCCAGTTATCCCAAACCTTGTCCTTCTTTATTACCTCTATAAGAAGTTCTATGCATCCTAGAAGTCTTGTGTAAATAAGGTCAATATGTTTGGAAGTGATTGGTCATTAATTATAATGATGAAAGCGACAGTGGTTGTTGAAAATGTGATCTCTGTGTAATACTTGTGTTCAACATTTTACTATGATTGCTACCAACACAGAGGAACTTTCATGATAAAACAAGCGAAAGGTTTAATTTTGCAGGTACGATGGGGAAAGTTTCAGTAGACGCAGCAGCCATCTTGAAAGCCCTGGTGTCACCACGAGCGCCAGAAATCTTCTGAAAATCTGCTTGGAGATTATTTTTCCCCTGTTCTTCCCTCTCAACAACCTTGTAAAACAAGCAAAGAAACAAATGAAAGGTTTAATTTTGCAGGTACAATGGGGAAGGTTTCAGTAGACGCGGCAGCCATTTTGAAAGCGCTGGTGTCACCACGAGCACCAGAAATCCTCCGCATATCATTACCTAACATCTGCTTGGAGAACTCTTTTTCTCTGTTCTTCTCTTTCCTCTCAACCTCATTAGAGTAAACAAACAAAAAAGGTTTAATTTTGCAGGTATATGATGGGGAAGGTTTCGGTCCATTCAGAGGCCATCTTAAAGCCTGGTTTGAAAGCCACAAGCAGCAGAACTCTTCTGTAAATCTTAACCCAGCATCTAGTAGGAGATCTTTTTTTTTGCCTGTTCTTCTCTCTGTAAAGTAAACAAACAAACAAATGGGTTTAATTTCGCAGGTACAATGGGAAAGGTGTCAGTAGACGCAGCAGCCATTTTGAAAGCGTTGGTGTCGCCACGAGCGCCGGAAATCTTCCGCACGGGAGAGAAGCTCCTCTCGCAGAAGGACGAGACGACGAAGGACGGACTGCAGGAAATCTTCGCCACAAACGTCTTCGGACACTTCGTGCTGATCAGGGAGCTGGAAGATGTCTTGTGCCAGCCTGACCACACCTCTCAGGTAATCATTCCGTAATGTCAGCTATGCGTCGATGAATCTTAGACATCTAGGAAATAAGATATGCTAAAAAACAGTTACTCAAGCAACTGGATTTGATTTTGGAATTGGTCACACGTTTCAGGTAGCATCCGCTAACTTTCGTCAGTGACACTAAGAGACCAGAGGAGAAATGCAGGTTTAATATAATAAGTACGAACTATTGATAATGTCAGCCATGTCTGATGAGCTTGAGACACGTTGCACACGTGGATTTGTAGCTCCTTAAGACACATCACAAACTAAGTTAAATCTTAAGACGCATAAAAGTAGGTTCTTAGACACACCGCACAGGTAAATGTATCACCTGTAACTTCTTTAGACAGGTCTTGTGCCAGGCAGACCACACCTCTCAGGTTTGGTCAGAAGTGTCTTAAGACACATTGCACAGATAGATTCAAAATTTATCACCTGTGACATTTTAAAACACACCACAAAGGTAAATTTATGTGGCCAGAAGCTCTTGGGGAGGAGACCAATCAGCCACTGACAGTGGAACCAAGAGATTGTGTACACAGACAAAGTAAACAGACATCTACTGTGAAATATAACATCTGTGTCCATAATATCACCAGGGTCCACAATATCGCCACCTTGAGAAACAGTGTGCTTAAAGATATTTTTACTGCAACATACTTTTGGTACGCACTCCTTCACACATCAAATGTACATACCTACTAGTAGGGTGTGTTGCAGCAAAAATATCTTTAAGCACACTATTTCTCAAGGTGGCGATATCATGGACCCTGGTGATATTATGGACACAGATGTTACAACTTAGGGTTAGAAGTTGTTCTAATTGGTCACATGCACTGTATGACACCATCTTTTGACCTCCAACCTTTGCCCTTCAGGTCATCTGGACGTCCTCCCAGAACGCCACCAGGAAGGCGTTTGACCTTGAGGACTTCCAGCACAGTCAAGGTCACGAGGGTTACAGCTCCTCCAAGTACGCGACGGACGTGCTCAGCGCGGCGTTGAACGAGCGATACCGCGGCCGCGGGCTGTTCTCCCACACCGCGTGCCCCGGGCTCGTTGTGACGAACCTTACCAAGGGCATCCTGCCCTTCTGGCTGTGGTGGCTCATGCTGCCGCTGCTGTGGGCCATGCGGGCCCTGGTACCGAGCATGACCATCAGTCCTCACAACGGTACAGAAGTGTTGGTACGTACTGCTGTTGTCTTGGAGAGTAACCTAGGTGGTGTTACCTAGGTGATGTAGTGCCTACATGTAGGTGATGTGGGTGCCAGTACCGAGCATGACCATCAGTCCGCACAATGGTACCGAAGTGCTGGTAAGAACTGCTGTTGTGATGAAGAATAGTTGCCTAGGTAATATGTTACCTAGGTAATGTGTTGCCTAGGTGATGCCAGGGTGCTGGTACCCAGCATGACCATCAGTCCGCACAACGGTACAGAAGTGCTGGTACGTACTGCTGTTGTCTTGGAGGGTAGTTACCTAGGTGATGTGTTACCTTGCTGATCTGTTACCGCCGGGGTGATGTGTTACCTAGGTGATGTGTTGCCTAGGTGATGTATTGCCTAGGTGATGTGTTGCCTAGGTGATGTGTTACCTTGGTGATGTGTTACCTAGGTGATGTGTTACCTAGGTGATCTGTTACCGAGGTGAGGTGTGGTGTCATGTGTGCTAACAGGTGTGTTTGTTCCAGGTGTGGCTGTCCCAACAGGTGTGCTAACAGGTGTGTTTGTTGCAGGTGTGGCTGTCCCAACAGGTGCCCTCCAGTCTGGACCCCCTGTGTAAGTACACCAGCAGGTGTAAGGTGTGGGGGACGGCCTACGTGGACAGGGAGAAACTGGACATCGACCTGCCAACAGCCGAGCAGTTCTACCAGAAACTCCTGCAGCTAGAAAACCACTTCAGGGAGAAGTACAGGGAGGTCAGGTCAAAGATCAGGGGTCAATGACAGTACAACTAGGTCAGAGGTCATATAGGCATCTCCGAAGTATATTTTTACCTTTGGTTGAACCGTGTCCTATCATGAACGTAACATTCTACAGACTACTGCAAAGTACTGCACAAGAAAAGAGATCAGGACAAAGGACATTCAAGACTTTCAGTTCTGAACATCCATAAGTTACAGTGGACCCATTAGATGAGTAACGTTTGATATTAAACTTCAAATAATAGGTTTGATGAGTAAATGAACAGTCTGAGAATCTGCAATTAGACTAAAAAATTAAAAAATTAAAAATTAAAAAATTAGATTGTTCTTATTGAAAGCACTTCTGTTCACAAGAATAACTGAATTGTCTGAAACAACTAAACTACACGGAACAGTAATAGGCGTTCAAAGTATGGCCAAAAATCAGTCCCCAAAGGAATTTTATTTTGTATCTAACACAATACAGTGTGTTATACCACTGAGGTGCCAACATAATTCTTCTGTCACGTAGTGCTTTTCCCAGATCGTTCCATTTTCTGAACATCGCAGGAGTCGTCAATAAAACTATGTAATTCAGTAAAATGTACCGCCAATCACACAGTTTTAAATTAGTGTTTGTGAATTGAAAGAAATACTTAATATTGTACTTTGCTTTTACAATGGACTTAAACTTTGTTTATAACACTTGAGGCTGTCTGTTTTATTTATAACTACATTCTATATGAGATCATCCCGTTTATGTAGTAGATTCTTCCATTCCAAAATGGCGGTAGGCAGAAGTTAAAAAGTTCTTGAAAGTCGGTTCCAAAAGTTGAAGGAAGTTTTCTGGTGACATCCATGAAGAAAGTAAGTACAGATCCCATCTGTCAACTGTTCAGTGTTTCAAGATCCACTTTTCTTTTATTTAACTGCAATGTGATGTTGAAAAATAGATTAGAAAGCAAATATCTGACTGAGACCAACGCAGTGTAAATTAAATTGTTATTTTGACCTTTGGACTTAATGGGGGAGGGGGGCATCCAAAGGTCATCCTTGTTGAAAGAATTGATTTTTTTTTTTTCACACTTCCCATAATGCACTTTCAGGGCATTGCAAAATAGGCGTACCAGAGATTTTACAGCAAGTTTTTGTTATGCAAAAATACAGCTAAAACCTTGAGTAGGAAAACAGCAAAATACAGGAAATTCTAACAGGCTTTAACTGTGGACAAAAGCGTAGAAAGAAGGTACCGGGGCAAGAGATGTAACAGTTGTTTCTTAAAAGGAACAGACTAGAAGTACACCACAGTGAACGTCCATTTTGACATTACACCAGGCACTATAGCCAGCATTGGCTCACATGCCTAAAAAGATGCTGTGTACTTTTACACATTTACTGGACTCACCAAAAATACTAGACTTCCACAGATGACCTACTTTTTAAAAAAACTGATAATAAGTGCATGAGAATTTGCCACCTCAAGTGGTACCAATATGTAAAATTTTGGGTTTTGGCCCATGCACTAAAAGATGATGTATTCCATTTTGATATGATGTACCGGGCATGTGGCAGCTGCAGCATGGATTCACATGCCTTGCAGTATATTTAGTAACGTTCAATGATGACAGAATATAAGCATATAATGCACTCAATGGTAGCAACTGGGGCTTTATATATAATGGTGTTAAATAGTTGCAGGTATTACCAGTGCCCACAGCAGTCTAAGGCCACACCATAATTTCTTGGTTAACGGATTCGCCCGCTTCATTTTTTTCTGGTTTGCAGATAAAAATTCAGAATCAACTGCAAAATGAACAGTTGAAAACAGTCCTTTTCATCCTAGTTGTTACAGTTATCCCATCTTTCAATGCAATGGTATTATTAAAAGTTCAAAATTCATTCTTTAAATTTTGAACCAGCCAGGTGTGTTGACTTCATGGCTCCTATTGTACCATTTTGGGCCAGGATGCCCTAGGCCTGTTTTTCTTTTTTTTTTTACCCGCCCGCTCCATTATTTTTCTAGAAAAATCCGTTAACCAAGAAATTAAATTGATGTGGCCTGACCTTGTACTTCAGACTAATATTGGAGTCTCCGTGCCGCTCGGGATATAATTTCTTCAATCCTTCCTTAGTACTGATTATGGAGCCATTAGGTACTTAAACTGTTCCAGTGTTTAGAGCTCTTCCTGGTTGATAACTGATTTCCCCTACATATTGTCTACTTGTACTTATTTCCCCTTATAGGGGGCCCGCAAGCCCTTTTCCATGGAGCGTAATTGGCCGTTTTAATTCTACGTAGAGCGTAGACGGACCGCTCCAATATTTTTGCGTAGAGCGTATTCAGCGTTTTAATTCTACGTAATGCGTTGATTTAATGTATTGTTTCCTACTTTGATGCTGTGATATGTGATGGTGGCTGTGTATATGTGATGTTCCCACTGAATCAAAACCATAACCATTTTACAATGATTGAGTCAACATTTTAAAATGTAGGAACCTAGCTTGTTTTTTTGGCCCGCCTTGGGTTTTTTTTTCGCCCGCTCGCGTTAGATTTGGAGTCTTCGGGGGAAGTCATCCATAAAATTTACTTGCTGTGGCCTAAGTACTCTCCAAGCAAATGTTTGGGTTTGGCTTATTTTTCTTCATTTATTTTTGTTTAATTATTTGTTTTATTGTTGGGAAAACATTGCCATTGGCATTGTAGCAGTTACTGCATGGTACTTCAGTTACTGTAGTGCTCTGGAGTTTGATATCTCTAATGTTCTGGGCATGTTATGATCGTGATTTCATAGTGGGGATGTAGTAGTTTTTGGTCCACTACATGTAGTAATGGACATTCCAGTGAATTTCTACATGTATAGTACAGCAGTAGCACATTTGGGTTTCATATCTCATTATCTTGACAAGCTATGGTCTTTATTTTTTTTTTACCACTGGGCAGGTGTTGAGGAGTAGATTTGGCCCCCTTATTATTATTATGGAACTGCAAGTGGCATTTTGTGTTGAACTTTTTTTTGCTGAGAATAACTGGAGCAAGGGTCTAAGGGTTTTCCTTTCCAGGTAATGATTAGCACAGGGTGTCCAAATTAGGACCTTGTTTACACAATTTTAAGTACCTTTACAATATGACTAAATGTTACATAATGAAGCTGTAGGTTCTGGGGCAAGGGGTACACAGGTGTTGTTACCACACACCTGACACACACCTGTCTGTTCCAGGTGTTGTTACCACACACCTGACACACACCTGTCTGTTCCAGGTGTTGTTACCACATGCCTATCTGTTCCAGGTGTTGTTACCACATACCTGACACACACCTGTCTGTTCCAGGTGTTCCTATAATGCTGATGTAGCTGACACCTGTGTGAGTCATGGCTGAGGGCCAGGGGGCGGCTGGGTGCTCAGGTGAAACTGCAGGTGAGAAATGTTACATTCGTTCTTAAGTTACATACGTTCTTAAGTTACATGTAGAGTGCAAGTGCAAGAAATATAGCTTATTGACCTATGAGACAAACAAAGCTACTGTAGTCAGTGTTTTTAGACTACGAAGAGTAACACTTTTTCTATGTTTTTCTTGCAGGTGTTCATAAGTATTTCTATTACGTCAAAGACAATGTCAGCTCAGACTGGAAGGACCTGGCCTTCCATCTTGACTTTCGACGGTCAGACATCGACAACATTGAAGGGAGAAACCGGGATGACAAGTCTCGCTGTATGGACCTGTTGGAGGAATGGCTGAAGGGTAACGGAGAGAGAGCCACCATAGAGGTTCTGATGGAGGCTCTGTCTGAGGCAAACCTACAGAGTGTTGTGGATGGTCTGAGGAAGAAACTTCAAGGTAGGAAGATTAGTGAATTTATTTTGTACTCTTTTCTTTGAGCTCTTTTCGATAACGATTTTTATAGTTCCACTTTTTTCAATACAAGTAGCACAGTCCATTTTTTTAAAAATACCGTTGATGCCTATCATCACCTTCTTTGGAAAAATCATCTTTATTTCTTCTTGCTTATTTTTTTATTTTATTATCTTAATTTGAATTGTGTTAAAAGACATGAGCTGGAGTAAGGTTTGAAGAATCAAATCACACACAGTACGGGTATGTAACAGTGTGATGTGAAAAAACAATTCAAAAGATTTTTAAATCAGTTGCTTACTATTCGTCAGAAATGGATCACAATATATAACTATGTTCTCTTCCAGAAGTTCCAGTTGGAGCTGCAGGAACAGAGTCTTCTTCAGTGACAGGTGTCAATCAGACAGGTGGGAATGTGACAGGTGCAAATATATATATAGAGAGAGAGAGGGAGAGAGAGAGAGAAATAGGTAGGTAGGTAGATATATATTACATA